CTTGTAGTTCCTATAGTATTTCAGAAGATGATGGCCCGAAAACGAGGAAAAATAGCGAAAATTTTGGATCCAAAAACTTCGAAACTTACCATCTAAAGTATCTGGACGACCTCGAAAGAGAATCGAAAGAGCATCTTTAAAAGAACTAATGGACAGATACATTGAGTGCTTGTCGCCGGAATTGGCGCTGTTTTTCATTCGAACGAGAATAAACGAACAAATTCCGCAAACAAAGAATGTGCAGGGGAAAAAGCAGGAAAACTTGATGGAGATGGAAAAACGCCCGGCGGTAGGACAAATTAGGCAACATTTGGAATCCGAAAAGAGGAAAAGGACTGGAATTTTCTGGAAAAAGTGTTGGGTGCAGGTCATTCCATGTTTATGTAGTAAAAATATTTAGTGTTATGAAAATTGACAAAACGGGGAAAAATTATGTCGGTATTTGATAGGAACACAGAAATGTCTTGGACGATTTTCCGTTAAAATATGTGAAATTTTTGAAATTTATTGGACAAAATTTGGTATTCAAAAATAAGCAAAATCAAGCTTATCGAATTTCATTTGACCCACCTCCGTGAAAGCTAAGAGTCTGGCATAATTTTTTAAAAATTATGAAACTTACACTGCACAGCATAGCTGGCTAACAATGCCAAAGACCCTTCAGCACTCGGAAGACGGCCTTCAAGAATATCTAACCGAAGTTGGAGGTAGAAGTGATACCTGTAAATATTTGTACGCCTGAATTGAGTTTGCAAGAAAGGGCGGGGCGGGAGGCGAAAAAAGGAACCTACCTAGTGTATTCCTCAGCAAGTTTGCTGGGATCGCTGACATAGAATTTAACTCGGAACGAAAGGTGAAAAGGTGGGCAAAGCATTTGCTTTCGGATAGATTTGTTTGGATCGAGCCATCGCTGGAAAAATTTACAGATTAGATTCTTCAATTCAGAGCAGAAATCAATCAATAATCAGGTTCAAAAACTAGATTTAGTGTTGATATAAATGCGAGCCAGATTTGACAAATCTTAGGCTACATAATTCTACTAAATTACCTAAGAAGTTCTTGAGTATTAGGTTGGTCCATAGTGCTTGTCAAAATACTCAAAAAGTTGTAAAAATGTTCGACCAAGTCGCTCACTCAAATATGTCTCAGA